GGTCTCCTGGTTTTGTCTGTTTTTCTCATCTCTTGTTCTTCCACATTCTCTGGGATCTCGCATCTCTTGAGTAGATAACTTTTCTCTTACACTAAGCCTTTCCTGCCGACCATGGTTACACATGAGTGTTTACAACTGGCTAGGCTTCCTGGTGCATCTAGCTACTCTTGATCTTCTGTCTCCAGCCATGCATTTAAAGACACATGGATGTTGTTATCATTCTTGGGAGTTCACATCCTCATAGTTTTGTTCTCTTCATGACCCAGGAAACTGATGGCTGATGGCTTTATTTAGGGTAATGTGTCTATATGCCCTCCTTTTAAACATTTCTCCTGTGCCAATGCCTATATACTGTGTATGGTCTGTGGTATCATTGTACCTGCTTTGTTCCGTAGAAACTGTTGTAAAGGATGCCTTCCAAAATTAGCCTACCAGATTCTTATGGTCCCCAAAGCTTTAAACAGCTCACTAATCCCTATCTTATGGAGAGGGAGTATCCCAGTACACATATGATCCAATCGCATGACTTGATCTGTATCCTGCAGGGCATGGCCTTTCTCCACAACAGCATTATTGCTTCCCATGGGAGTCTCAAGTCCTCCAACTGTGTGGTGGATAGTCGATTTGTGCTCAAAATCACAGACTATGGCCTGGCCAGCTTCCGATCAACTGCTGAGCCCGATGACAGCCACGCCCTCTATGCCAGTGAGGTCTTCCTCCCCCAACCCACTTTTTATACTGCTTCTGTGGCCTTGATCACCACCACCTAGGGAGGGTGGGATAGGGCTATGAGGTAACAGTAATATGGGTTGCATTATGGGAATGAGCCTGGGTGGGCAAGAAAATGCCCCATTTTAGAGACTTGGCCAGCTGTTCCTCCTTTTCAGAGAAACTGTGGACTGCCCCAGAACTGCTCAGTGCGAACCCCTTGCCAACCACAGGCATGCAGAAGGCTGATATCTATAGCTTTGGGATCATCCTACAGGAGATAGCACTTCGAAGTGGTCCTTTCTACTTGGAAGGCCTGGATCTAAGCCCCAAAGGTGAGAGTCAACTCACTACCCACAGCCTCTTCTAGCCAAGGGTCCCTGTTCATCCAAACCATTTTTCACCCCCAGAGATTGTCCAGAAGGTCCGAAATGGTCAGCGCCCATTTTTCCGGCCAAGCATTGACCGGACCCAACTGAATGAAGAGCTAGTTTTGCTGATGGAGAGATGCTGGGCCCAGGACCCAGCCGAACGACCAGACTTTGGACAGATTAAAGGCTTCATTCGCCGCTTTAACAAGTGAGCAGGCACTGAGGGGCAGGGCCCCCTGACTGCTTCATCAGTCTTGGAGAATAAGGGAGGCTGGAGAGTCCAGAGAGTGGGCTGGGGAGGAAGTCGTGGGCATCCTGGACTCATGAGCAGGCAGTATACATTGGCTTCTCCTCAGGGAGGGTGGAACCAGCATTCTGGACAACCTCCTGCTGCGCATGGAGCAATATGCCAACAACCTGGAGAAGCTGGTGGAGGAGCGTACCCAGGCCTACCTGGAGGAGAAGCGCAAGGCTGAGGCTCTGCTCTACCAAATTCTACCCCAGTGAGACCTGTGCTCCCCTTCCCACGTTTTCCTTTGGGATCCTGCTCCTGTGTTCTGCTTCTCTCAGTTCCTTGGGAACTCACTTATCACTTACAGCTGTGCTGTTACATCTTGTTATAATGAGCCCTACTGGCTGTAGATTAAGTGCTATCATTCTACCTCCAAATAAGCTGTGCAGCTTTCCTTCTGGTGTCCAGTCCCTCCTCCATAGTGCACAACTATACGTGCCCTTGTTCCAGTAAGTGTATGTAAAACAACCTCAACTAGAAGGAATTAGTCCCAACAGGGATCCTTTCCCAGCCCTTCACCACATGTACCTCACCTTGCCCTAGACTGTGATGTCTTTCCAGCCATGTTCCTTCTCCACTGAGCTCAACTTTCATGTTAGAACTCATTCCCACTCCACGCTTCCTTTCTCTCCACTTTGAGTTAGGCTCAAACTGCTCCCTTACTTCCTAGCTCAGTGGCAGAGCAGTTAAAACGAGGAGAGACTGTACAGGCTGAGGCCTTTGACAGTGTCACCATCTACTTCAGTGACATCGTTGGCTTCACAGCCTTGTCAGCAGAGAGCACCCCCATGCAGGTGAGAACCATGGGTAGGTAATGGGACAGGGACGGGGTGGGGGGGCTTTGCTGGGTACAGGGAATAGTAGGGAAGTTTGATCTGGACTTCCTGTCACAGCTTAAGGGTTAAGAATTCTGAAAAGGTCAGGTATAAGTCTCAGGGCCTGTGCTTTCCCATCTCTGTTAGGTGGTGACACTTCTTAATGACCTGTATACCTGCTTTGATGCCATAATTGACAACTTTGATGTCTACAAGGTGAGATCTGGGGCTACCCTTCTAGTGAGACCCTTCAAAGCCCAGCCTCCCCACACTTTAATGCACCTTCCTTTTCTCAATCTCAAGCATCTAGTGCTCTTTGTAGACAAATGTGGCTTTGGCACTAATGAGACTGTTAGTCTAGTCTAACTTCTTGTGAACTTTAGGCTTCTCTGATCAGAACCATCACTATTCAGGATTTAGCCCCTGCTAAATCTGTTATTTCTTTGCCTGAGCATTTAGAGTAGAGAAAGATATACTGGGAGGGAGCCAGGTTATGAAAAGTATCACTATAAAGCCTTTAGTTGCTATAAAGCCTTTAGTTGCAAACATTGAGTTGGCAGAGGATGACTTTGTTGTGCTTTGGAACAAAGGAGATCTGGATTTGAATACTGTCTTGGTTACTAACAGTGTGGCCTTGAGCAGATAATAGCAGCTTTGTAAGCTTCAGTTTTACTTGTGAGGTGGGAGTAAAATACTGAATGGAAAGTACCTAATAGTGTATTTGGCACCCAGCAGATAATGTAGGTCCATTCCTTTTTGCCTTACCTACAACAATAATCTGTTATTATGTAACAAAGAACTTTCAGGAACTCTTTACCCTGATTCATTAATTATCTGTATCTTTCCCCCCTTACCTTTTAAAAACTATTTCCTGAACTCCCTGTGCCCAAGCTTTAGACCTATCTTTATCCCTTACTACAGTCTATTTCCTGAAAAAAAGAGAATTGCATAACTTCAGTATAATTGATAGAATCACGTGCTTGCTTCCTTGTCCTTTGAAAGCTGGACGAAGGCCCATTGCAGTGGCCTGCTTTACCTTCTCTAGAGCCTGCTGAGCTCATTAGTTTACCATTTTCTTGTTTTCTATTTCCTAAAATCAGAATATGTTTGCCCATGTCTTACTGCAAACAGGTGTCTATTCATTCAACAAACATTTACCAAGCATTCACTGGGTTCAAGAGTGGTGACGGTGGGCACAGATCGATGGTGACCAGTTTTATAAGAGTATATGGGAAGGATCGTATGAAACACAATATATGCAAATTCTGAATCCAAACCAATATAAAATTTAAAGCAAAAAACCCAGTAAAACATAAAAAAAAGTAAAAAATTAAGAGATTTCCTTGACTGCTTCCTTCCCCTCTCAGGACCATGGCAGTTATTTTCAGTGTTCTGGATCCTAGGCTGTCAGGATGACTCATAGTGGCATTGTCCTCTAACCTATTCCCCCTGCTACAGACACAGGTAGGTGATTTTTAATCTCCCTCTCAAAAGGTGGAGACAATTGGAGATGCCTACATGGTGGTATCTGGTCTGCCGGGCAGAAACGGCCAACGGCACGCTCCAGAAATTGCTCGTATGGCTCTGGCATTACTAGATGCAGTTTCTTCCTTCCGCATCCGCCATCGGCCCCATGACCAACTGAGGCTACGCATAGGGGTCCATACTGGTAAGGTGGATTCTCATCCTAGCCTTCATCTTCACCTATTCCAGGATCTCCCAACCAGTTTTCCTTCACAGGCCCAGTCTGTGCTGGGGTTGTTGGCCTGAAGATGCCCCGCTACTGTCTTTTTGGAGACACTGTGAACACAGCTTCTCGAATGGAGTCTAACGGACAGGGTGAGACACTGGCTCAATCTCAGCCTCAGCCTCTTTTGCTCTCTTCTGTTCACCAACCTGAGAGAACATAGTTCCTAATTCCCCCATCCTTGAGATTATAGTTCTAGTAAATGTCCACTGGGGAGACTGAAACCTTCCCAAGGGCTGGTTGGTTGGGTAAAGCTCTTTAGTACTGCCAGCTTTTCTGTTGCCTTTTCTTGACTGTTCTCTCCACCATCCCTCCCACCCCAGCTCTGAAGATCCATGTCTCTTCCACCACCAAAGATGCCCTGGATGAGCTAGGATGTTTCCAGCTAGAGCTTCGGGGGGATGTGGAGATGAAGGTGATGACAGGCTAAGGAGGGGGTCACGGAAAGGGAGGATGAAGTGCTTATGGGTTCCTGGGGGAAAGAGATAAAGGGGCTGATAAGAGTAGAATCAGAATTATCTTCATTTCTCTGCTTCTAGGGAAAGGGAAAGATGCGAACTTATTGGCTCCTGGGGGAGCGGAAAGGACCTGCTGGACTCTTGTAAATCCTACTTCATCTCAAGTCTGACAGTCTCCTGTTGTTGGTACTGGGTAGGCAGTGGTTTTCATCTCATACCAAAAATGGATGCTGTCATGAGAATGAAACCAATGTGCACAAAATCCTTACCTTAGCATGGAGGTTGCAGCTCAGCCTTGTACATATACTTACTCCTTTTTAGCCTCTCCTACTTCCCTGTATTCTGTAAATACCTGTATCTAAACCAGAATATTTTGGTCAAATATAAAACAAAAAGTGTCATGGCATCAAAGTCTGGGGCAAGGGCAACATCAAGAAAAGATTATGGAGTATGGACTTAGTAATTCACAGAATCACTAAATGAACACTCTCCAGATGAAGGAAAATCCTTTATGTCACATACCTTCATCAAATACAGTTAGAATTAACTTTCTGTCCAACTCTCCATTACAGATGGAAATCCATTTCACATTCTACTCTTTCCAAACCCTTAGCTAAGAGTAGTTCTCCTCCCTGTATCACACTGCCCTCCCTCCTGGCAGGAAAGGGAAGACATTTCTCCCAGTTGGTGGGAGTAATTCTGAGGTTCATAGGGCAAAGGCTGCCCCAGGGACAAGGGCACTGGTGTTGTGAAGCTGCAGTTCCTCCTGAATGGTGTGTCCAGTGTCTTGATATAACTGACACCCTATAGGGGTGCAAGAGTAAAGTGACTCTCTGTGCCCAGGGCATAAGAGAACATCCCCTTTCCCTCTCCCTTTCCCAACACCTAGCCACCCTTACATACTGGTAGCCTTGATGCCCTTTGTAGCCAGAAGGTTTCAGGTTGCTCCCGATGGTAGTCATGAGACTGTGAGGGAGAAATACAGAAAAACTCTTAGCTTATAGTCTTAACCTCTGAGCCTCATGCTGTCCCACAGCCTGGCAGCCCTGCTGTGCATTAGGGGTGGGATGGAATCTCACCTTGGTAGGGGCAGGTGGCTTTGGTTGCACCAGCTCCTTTCGGTAGTCATGGTGTGTCACAGACTCAGTCTCAAAGAGCTTCCTTGTGTGTTCCTGCTCTGCCTGCACCTCTTTACTATATAGCCCTGGGGGAAGTCAAGGCCATTCTCTCCCAATTTGTGTCCTCCCCTTCCTGCCTATCTTCCCCAGCCTCTTACCAGATCTGGTGGTGCAGAAGAATCTCCAGCATGGCTTCCCGCTTCCCTGTGGGAGAGGAGTAGATGAGTGAAGTCTGCTTAAGAAACAGGCCAAGAAGAAACAAATTTGAGATAAGGAATTAAAATCTTAGGGACTGTCTTTTGTATACGCATCAGACCATCCATAGTCTCTCTGACAATTCTTTCCTCTTTTTCTTCTTTTACTAATGGACTCATCCTAGCCTCTCATGCTTCATACCTCGAAGTGGCTGACAGAGTGTTTCTGGGGGCTGGTAGGAGTCTTTCTGGGTGGTACTGGAGGACATAGTCGACTGCAGCTGCAGAGTCAGAAGTCCTCGGTGTCCATGTCGAAAAAAGAAACTCTCAGAGCCATCCTGCATGTTTGGGACTCGATCCAGATGATTGGTGGCTCTCTGCGGGCCCCAAGTTGAGTGACCATAATGTCCCTTCTGATACAAACTACTCCTCCACCCACCACCCTCCTTGGCCAAAGATATTGAGGCTATCCCTTAAGGGGGCAGAACAAAACCTTAATACCTCTTCCTCCCAGTTGTTGAGGAGACACTGGCCTCGTGGCAATGTATCAGAGAAGCCCATAGATTTTTCTTCAACTTTTGAAGGCCTCCAAAGCCCTCGGGCACCAGGTTCTGGTACCTGTAAAAATTCCCAGGATGGTGGTTTCTGAGGCTCCAGGTAGCTTTGTTGATTCCAAGAGGTGTAATTACTGACAGGATCTGCCCTAAGATTTGTGTGCTCAGGGCCAAGGTGTGGACATGGGCCAAGCCCAGGGTCAGAGGCAGGACCAGGCCCAGAGTCAGAGGAAGCACTAGGCCCAGAGTCAGAGGCAGGACCTGGGCCAGAGTCAGAGGCAGGACCAGGGCCAGAGTCAGAGGCAGGACCAGGGCTAGGGTCAGAGGCAGGACAAGGGCCAGAGCCCTGACAAGAGCCAGAGCCAGGGCCAAGACTAGAGCTAGAGTCAGGAGCAATACCAGAGCTAGAGTCATAAAGATTGTAAGACGAAGAGCTGTTGGTTATAATACAGGGGTCTTGAGCAACACCGGAAATATAAGTAGGCTCAAAGTCTATTTTGGTAAAATCGGATTCAGAACAAGGATTTCCACTAAGGCTTATGTCAGACAAGGGATCTGTGCAAACTGGTTCAATCTTTGTAAGTGATGCAATTGGTTTGTCAGTGTAGGATGCCGCACTGGCTTCATCAGTTGAAGGAGATACTGTGGTTGTGGATGTAACTGCCAGTTCAGACCCAGTAAGGCCATCTGAAGGAAGTTGTTCCGAAATGGACCCTTTGAAGCTGGACTTTCTGTCTAAAGACCTGAAAGAGAGGGAAATCACAAGGTTGTCAAAAGCACAGCCAAGGGAGCCAGGAGACCTTCCCTGACACCCCGCTCCTTATGCCGGCTGCCACTAGTTCAGTTCTCACCGCGACTTAGAGCGCTCGGTATAGTCGTAACCCTCCATTTCCAGACGCCAGGTAACGGGTTGCCGTGGTGACGGCAATAACCCAGAGACGGCGCAGAACCACGGCTGGGCGGATGTGGAGGCGGGGCGAATCCTCTGCGGGGCGGAAGTCTTATTCCTGATGCGCTGTGGGAGGGCAGCTTTCTCTTCCCGACTGCATTACACACCAAGCCGGATTTTAAGGTTCCGCTGGCCCAAAGCCTTGCTCATGATTACTGTTTTCTTTTTGTTGTTAAGTCCTATCATGTTGAGTAGGACCACAACGACCCTACATGAACAACATATCTGAACCCTGTCCTAGCCTGTGCCATCCATCCTCACAATCTCTGACATACTTGAGCCTCATTGCTCCAGTCACTGTGTCAATCTGTTTGGTGGTGGGATTTTCTTGCCAAACTTCCAACTTTCTGAGCATGATGTCCCTCTCCAATGAGTAGCCTCTCCTACCTACATGGCCAAAGTATGTGAGACAAAGCTTTAACATCTTTGCCTCTAAGGAACACTCTAGCTGCCCATTCTCCCAAACATATCAGTTTGTTCTTTTGACAGTTAATGTGATATTTAGTGCTCTTCTCCAACACTATGTTCAAAGGCATCAATCCTTCTTCTGTCCTTATCCATTATCTAGCTCTCAGTTGCACAACAAATTATTGGAAAACATCACGGTCTGAACTAGGAGCTGCTTTTTAAGGGTGGAATTTTATGGGATGTATGTTCTGAGATTCCCATTCTTCTCAAGATAATCCACAATTTGTTGTGATCCATACAAATGCCTTTGCATAGTCAATGAAACATAGACAGATATTCCTCTGGTACTTTCTGCTTTCAGCCAAGATTCATCTGTTGTCTATGATGCCCCTAGTACCATGGCATTTTCTAACTCAGCCTGCACATCTGGCAGTTCTCTGCTGATGTACTATCCAAGTTGTTTCTGGATAATCTCCAGCAGGATCTTGTTAGTGTGTCATATTACTGATCTTGTTTGATAATTTCCACACTGTTAGGTCACCTTTTTCTTGGCTAGGGAACAAATACTGATCTCTTCCAGTCAGTTAGTCAGGTAGTCGTCCTCCAGATTTCTTGGCATGAACAGATTTCTGGTAAGCATGTCCAGGGCAGCATCTGTTTGTTGAAGTATAACAATTGGTATTCCATCAATTCCTGGGGCCTTGTTTTTTGCCAATGCCTTCAGAGCAGCTTGAAATTCCTCCGTCATCACCATAGGCTCTTGACCATATTGTTTCATGAAATTCTCTGTCAGCCAATTCATTTTGGTATAGTGCCCCTGTGTACTTCTTCCATCTTCTTCTTTTTTTAAAAAAATTAATTTTAATGACCGTTTACAGAGATTTTGGATTTCCATTCATTCATTGTTGCATTCCTCTCCCTGCCCAGCCCTCCCCCACCCAACTTTGCTCTTTTCTTTGAAAAGTAAAATTCTTTCATTGGAATATACCCCCCTGCCCCCCAGTACACCCCACTATGCAGCCTTCATTCTGGACTCTTGTCATGACCATAATACCCACTCATATATCATTTTAAAACTGTTCCCTCCCTCATCTGTTTCAATGCAGTATACATACTTTATTCAATTTTTCTCAGTCTCACCCCAACCCTGATGTCAGTCCCGTTCTACAACAGTGGCACTATGTGGTATTTGTCCTTTTGTGACTGAGACATTTCACTCAGCATAATGTCCTCCAGGATCACCCATTTTGAATAATATTGCACAAGTTCCTTGTTTTTCAATGCAGTGTAGTATTCCATTGTGTGGATATACCAGAGCTTCTCTATCCATTCATTTGTTGATGGGCACTTGGGTTGTTTCCAACACTTTGATATTATGAACAAAGCCACAGTAAACATGGGTGTGCATATATCTGCCTGGGTGACAATTATGGTTTCTTTAGGGTATATTCCCAGTAGAGGAACTGCTGGGTCAAATGATATTTCTATGTGCAACTTTTTGAGAAAGCACCATGCAGCTTTCCATAATGGTTGCACCATTTTGCACTCCCACCAAGAGTGAATAAGAGTTCCAGTTTCTCCGCAACCTCGCCAGCATTGTTCTTTGCGGTTCTGTTAAATTTTGCTATAGTTACTGGGGTGATATGCTATCTCATAGTTGTTTTGATTTGTATCTCTTAGAGCAAAGAATTTAACATTTCCTCATGTGCTTGTTGGCCATCTGAATGTCTTCTTTGGTGAAGTGTCTGTTCATAGCCTGTGACCATTTTTGAATTGGGTTGTTTAACTTTGTCTTGTTGTGGTGCTCTTCCATCTTCTTTTGATGCTTCCTGGGTCATTCAACATTCTGCCTTCAGCATCCTTAAGTATTGAAACTTGAGGTTTAAATTTGTTCTTCAGTAACTGTGCTCATGCGAAACCTATACTTGGACTAGGAAGCAGTAGTTAGAACAGAGTAAGGAAATACTGCATGGTTGAGGATCAGGAAAGGTGTGCATCAAGGATGTATCTTATCACCATACCTTTTCAATCAATATTCAGAACAGATCATTCCAGAGGCTGGAGTCTATACAGATGACACAGCCTTGCTTCCTCAAACTAAAGAGGACGTGAGGCGTTTGCTGCAGAAGGTCAAGGAAGGTAGTCTGAAATATGGATTGAAGCTCAACATCAAGAAAACAAAGATTCTCACCAATGGGCCAATCAGTAGCTTCATGGTGGACAGAGAAGAAATTGAGGATGTTGATAACTTCAACTTGCTTGGTTCCACAATCAACACTCTTGGCATCAGTGGTCAGGAAATAAAACAAAAAAAAAATTGCACTGGGAAAGTCTGCTTCAGGGACCTCTCCAGAGTACTGAAGACCAACAATGTCAGTCTAGAGACTAAGGTGCTCCCGACAGAGACCATGGTCTTTGCAATTACTGGCTATGCATCAGAGAAGTGGACACTGATTAAAGATAATAAAAGAATTGATGCCAAGGGAGCTCTGGTGCCCTAGTGGCAAGAAGCTGCACTGCAATCCCAGAGGTATGTGATTTGAGTCCACCAGATGCTCTGCTGGAGAAGGAGGGGCAGTCTCCTCCTGTACCAATCAGATCCAATTTGATGGTACACGCACAAAAAATAATAAAATAAAAAAGAATTGATGCCTTCAAATTGTGGTGCTGGAGAAGAGTGCTGAACATATTGTGGGCTGCCAAGAGAACAGGTCTGTGTTGGAGAGGGTGAAACCAAGCTGGTCCTTGGAGGCAAGAATTTTGAAGCTCTGTCTCACATACTTTGGGCATGTGGCCAGGAGGGACCAGTCCTTGGAGAAGGACATCGTACTTGAAAGGGTAGAGGGACAGCGAAGGAGAGGAGATCCATGATGAGATGGATTGACTTAGCGATTGGGGTATGGGATTAGGTGTGTCAGAGATGATGAGATTGCCCAGTATAGGGCAGGGTTCAGAGTTACTGTGCATACAGTCACTAGGAGTCATGAGTGACTCAGTGGCACATTAACAACAATAACAACATTTATGGAAATATGTTGGAGGAAACAAGAGAGTTATGGCATCAAAGCCTTGGGAGCTCTGATAAGATGTCATGCTGCCAGCCTAAAGAGAGGTCACCAGCCTGTCTGAAGCCATGTTCTGTGGGAGAAAGCTGAGCAATCTCATCCCAGAGGGTCAGTTCTGACTAGATGGCAGTGAATGAGTAGGGTGTGGGTAGGGGAAACATTAACTTCATAATCAAAACTGGGAGAAGTCATAAGACAAATTAGGCATGAAAATACACGAGATGACAATTTAAAAGTAAAATGAGACACAGAATAGTCAAAGGGTGGTATTTGTGATTCCTTCTCCAGTAACAGGAATGGGCTTCTTGGGAATGACCAGGAAGTGCACACAGGTGCCTGAGTGGCCACATCAGGGAACACAAGGCACTAGAGGTGGAGGAACATTCTAGGCAGTGACAGATCAGAGGCCACCATGTTACTTCAACAGGCAGAATTGTACCTGACAGGCCTTTCACACTGACACTCGTTTCACTTCCAACACCGCCTTAGAACGTGGCTTGGCCTTTCAATAAGGACCAGGATTAAGCAAATGGAATTCACTAGTCATGGGGACCCATAGATCTGCAGACAATTACACCTTTAATTACATGATGGGCTTCAGTGTTTCCCATTCAGATCAAGTTAAGAGGATCATACTCTTGGATTCTTTCCCCCTTTTATGTATTAATCTTTATTTAAGACATGGACGAAAAATTTCATGAAAGCTTTATTGGCATCACAGAACCCTTTCCCACCCCACGTCCAAGTATCCCAGACCTGGGGTCTTTGGTTGGTTGGTCTGGTGGTTTAACCTGGAGGCCACAGGAGCTGTCGGCCCCCAATTACGTGAATGTGCAGGTGATATACTGACTGCGCGCCCAGCTTCCCATCATTGATCACTGAAATGGGAGTTTGGGGTTAGGATGTTAGAAAGTAAAGATCACATTAAGGGGTAGGTATGAAAAGCAATAGGCTAGGGGCTGGCTCAAGGGCCAAAAGTTACTCACCAAGTCGGTACCCATCTGCCAGGCCCTCAACCTTTGCTATCTTCTTGGCCACGAGGAGGAGGTGTCCTAGAAGCTGTAGGAAAAGGGAAAGGAGCTAGAACGCTTCAATAACAAGGCACAAAACCTCCAGCTGGCCCAGGATCCATCCCAGCCAAGCCCTGGCTCTGTTCTTCTCACCTGCTGATCCTCCTCTTCAGCCTGGCTAATTCGTGGAATGGGCTTCTTGGGAATGACTAGAAAGTGCACAGGGGCTTGAGGGGCCACATCACGGAACACAAGACACTAGAGGTGGAGGAACATATTACAGGCAGTGACAGGTCAGAGGCCACATGTTACTTCAACAGGCAGCACTCTACTGAGGTGTTACCTATGAAATTCTTGGGAGGATGTATCCTATGGGCACCCCACCTGGTGGTCTTCATATAAAATGTCAGCTGGAAGGCTTCGATCCAAGATCCGAGAGAATATGGTTGGGGCTGCCCCACCAGGAGCTGCCTGCTGGGCCTTGGCCACTTCATTGCCATCAGTCACCCCTGCAGCTCCTCGAACCTGAAGGTGAGTCAGACACATCCAAAGGGATTGGCAAACAATTTTGCTACCTACTTGGGGCTAGCAGAAGCGGAGCTCTGATGGTCATTAACTTTACCCTTCTAAGAATCTGTTAGTGATTCCTAAGGGAGCTCTGGTGGCCTAGTGGCAAGAAGCTGCACTGCAATCCCAGAAGCACACGGTTCAATTCCACCAGATGCTCTGCTGGAGAAGGAGGGGCAATCTCCTCCTGTACCAGTCAAACCCGATTTGACGGTACACACAACAAAATAATGAAAGAAAAAAAAATTTAAAAAAAAAAGAATTCACTTAAAAACAACAACAACAACAATCTGTTAGTGATTCCTGCCCAAGATAAAAGTAACTGAATTTCAGAGGATTAGCAGCTTTGATGGTATGAAGAAGCCTAATTAGATAACAGGCAATGCTACAATCAAGGATTCACCAAGATTCCTGCTCCTAACCTGTTTAGGGGATTTAACACTTAGAGGGGAAGAATTTATAATGAGAATTTAGTGATTTAGGTCCCCGTTGCTATTTTAGCACCGAATCTCCTCAGATAAAATACTTTCTCTTAAGACTAGTTAAAAGATTTTCCCATTTATTGTCACCTTGTCAATACTTGGTCCTACTTATTTCCAATATTTGTTTTCTGATTTTTAAGCTTCGTTACCTATTTTGTTCAAATTTTAAGGCAATTTCCCTGTTGGTGATCCCTCTTCTGGGGGTCATATCTGATCCCTTACTGTGGACTGTAACTCCGGTCAGTCACTTGGGTCAATAGAACCTAAAGGTCGGCTTAGTGAATTCAGCTCCACTGTTCCCAGGGAATTGGGGATAGGAAGTCTCAAGTGTCCAGCGCTGAGACAGCACTGACTTCTGGGAGTCATTTAAAGGAAAAAGGCAGGGTTCAGGATAATTTAAGACTTCTCAGAAACGCAAGCGCTTCAGAAGAGTAAGGGTTAAACAGGTGCTCTTTAGAACAGGTGCGCTCAGGTAGCGCGACGCAGGCTTGGTGAAGGGAAAGCTCACTTCCTGCAGAGGGCACCATGGAGCAACACTAGCTCAGGAGGGCTTCAGGCGGGCAGGGCGGCCTTTGCAGGTCCTGGTCTCGGTGCCCTGGTCTGTGCAGGACGTCAGTCAACTACAGTTCGGGTCTCCGTAAAGAGGCTACCGTGACTTTCACTATCTGACCTTAAGTACAATCTCAGAGCCTGCACCTCGGTGGAGGCAGAAGTCACAAGCCGTGCACTCGGGCTGCGGCCCCGCGAGGCCGCAGGACAGTGTGTGTACGCCTTCGGGAGCCAAGTCCTGGAAGAGGCCAGACCTGCCGGACACCCTCCCCGCTCCTGCGGCCCCTTCTCACCTGCACCCCCCGCGGCCCCGCGGCCGCCACTGCCTTGCGCACTACGCGCAGCCCGGCGGCTAGTGCGAGGGCGGCCGCCATCTTCCCCTCAGCCGCCCGGGGAACCGTGCTCAACGCGGGGCTGGACGCCTCAGCCTGCGTGGGGGCCTGTCAGGGCAGCGGGTGAAAAGCGACCATTGGCTCCGCCAGCGGCCCGCAGCAGTCCTATCGTCCCATTGGCTCGTGCCCCATCCGTGCCGCCCACGGGGTGGCACTGTTCATGCCATTCGCTCCACTTCCACAATAGAGGCGGAGTCTTTCCATCCCACCCGCGGCTTCCATCGGCTAACCGTAAGGGGAGTTTTCTACTATTCAGGGTGAAAGGTTTTTTTTCATTAGCTCTTGTCACTAGATTGGCTATGAGGTGGCTTTCCACGCCATTGAAAACATTAAAAATCAGAAGTGGCGTTTCCTTCCAATTGGATGCATTACACCAACTCCGCTTAGATTGAGGTTTTCTTATCCTACAAGGGTGAGTAGGTGAGACGTTGACGCTATTGGCTCATCATCCTCAGGTCTGGGCGGGGCTCCGTCACTTGCTACAAGAGGTTCTAGAAAAGTGTAGTGACTTTCACGACTACTTTCTGGCCCTAGGGGACCACCTAACTCCTAGAGTCCAAAGGGCGTAATCTTGACCTGAGGTAAACTGGGACAGGTTTATTTATTTATTTATTTTTTACTTCTTAATGATGGACAGAGGAGGAAGAACCAGACTAAGATGGATGTCAGAGGAGATTGAATATTGCACTAGAGCGCTAAGAAGCCAAAGCAAAGAAGAGAAATCAAGACGTTAAGGAGCTGAACAGAGGAATTCAAAGGGCAGTTCAGGAAGACAAAGCAAAGTAGTACAATGAAATGTGCAAAGAGCTAAGAGTCGGAAAATCAAAAGGGACAAACTCTCTTGACATTTCTTAAGCTGAAGGAACTGAAGAACAAGTGTAACCCTCCAGTTGCAACACTTAAGGATGCTGACGGCAGATTGTTGAATGATCCAGGAAGCATCAAAAAAAGATGCAAGGGTTTCACAGAGTCACTATACCAAAAAGAACTGGCTGACACAGAAACATTTCATAAAACAACATATGATCAAGAGGAAATGGTGATGAAGGAGTAAGTTTAAGCTACTCTGAAGGAACTGGGGGGAAAAAACAAGGCCTCAAGTATTGATGGAATACCAATTGACATATTTCAACAAAACAGATGCTGCCCTGGAGGCGCTCCCCAGGTTGTGCCACCACTGGACTGATAGGCAACATCATGAAAGGTGGAGAAAAGATTGAAATTATCAACAACTTCATCTTTCTTGAGTCCACAATTAACATGCTTGGTATCAGCAGTCAGGAGACATAGTATATTGGGAAAGTCTGGGTCAGGGTCTTGGAATTATTGAGCAATGAAAAGAGGTTGAAGACTAAGGTTTACCTAATTCAGAGTATGATATTTTCCGTCACTTGCTGTGCATCTAAGAGCTAGACAATAAATAAAGATGATAGAAGAATAATTGATGTTTTTGAGCTGTGACGTTGGAGAAGAGTACTGAATATGCCATGAACTGCCAAAAGAACAAACAGATATATCTTGGAGAAAGTACTTTCAGAGTATTCCTGGGAGGCAAAGATGACAAAGCTTTGTCTTACATACTTTTGGCATGTTGCCAGGAGAGGGACATCATGCTTAGAAAAGTCAAATCTCATAGAAAGGAAGGGAGACCCTCAATGAGATGGATTGACACAGTGACCATAGCAATGGGTACAAGTATGTCAGAAATTATAAGGATGGTGCAGGATAGGAGAGGGTTCAAACTTGTTCATAGAGTCGCTATGAGTTGTACTTGACTTGTCAGCACCTAACAATAACTACAATAACTACAGAATTTCTTCACTACTAATAAGCATGTTGTGTGCTGCCAAGTAGGAACTGACTCAAAGCTAGCGCTCCAGTGGGTTTTTCAAAGGCAGTAAATTGCACAGGAGATTGCCCATATTTCTCCTGCTGAACATGTGGTAGATTTGAACCAAGTACCCTTGCTTTGGCAGCGTAATGCCTTACCACTAAGCCACCAGGGCTCCCTAATAAGCTCATCTGAAAATGTGGGATATAGATAGCTTAATGCCTGGCATTTTCAGTGAAATGCATCATGGACATAGGTCAGAAGCTTATTTCACTCTGCTAGGATATAAAAGACATAAATACTAATATACTCAGATACCATATAAATTTGATGGTAAATACACAGGATAAGTTGATATTGTATCTTTAGTGGCTGACTCATGTTGTTGGTGACTGCCTTCGAGTCGAGCACGACTCATCGTGACCCTATGAACAAAAGGCCCTACAACTATCGACATTTATCAAAGTTCATAGAGTTTCCAGAGGCAATGAATATTAACATTTGGTGTTTTTCCCCTTTCATAATATGCAGTATCATATACAATATCTAATATACAAAGGGGGTAGCTTAGTGGTAAGGAGTTGTGAGGCCAACCTGGAAGGCATGTGGTCTGAATCCACCAGCTGCGCCAAAGGAGGAAGATGGACAATCTCCTCCCATCTTCTTTACTGCTTCTGAAAACTTGGAGGATCAGCTATGAATTGATTCTGACTCAATGGCACATAACTACAACAGCAACAACAACAATATACAAAGAACAGTATCTTACACCTAGCACTAAGTTTTCTCCTGGTTGTAGTGCTGCAATAACAGAAATACCACTTAATTTACTCTCCGCTTACAATCACTTTTCCACATTATTACTTATCCACTGCTGTTGAGTTGATTTTGACACATAGACACCTCCATTGGATTCCCAAGGCTATAAATTTTTATGGGAGAAGATTGCTCATTCTCCTCCTCCAGAGCAGTTCATGAATTTGAACTACTGACCTTTCCTTTAGTGAGACATGTAACAGTCTTATAGAATTTCTTGTAAGTATGTTAAATGGCTGAATAGTGTTTTTTATTTTATATTTTAGTTATAGAGTGAATGCATCCCCTCAAATGTGTGTCAACTTAAAAAGTGTGTCAACTTGATTATTTAGTTATTATAGAGGTTGTAAATCTTAATCTCTGATGTTGTTGTTGATTGCCTTCAAGTGGAGCACGACTCTTAACAACCCTATGAACAAAAGGCTTGAAGCCCCTCTACAACTATTGACATTTGCCACAGTTCACAGAGTTTCTGGAGGCATTTTATGATGTTAATGAGGCAGAATTAGAGGCAGTAATATTAATGAGGCAGGATACAATCTACATGATTAGGTTGGAATTTGAGTCAATCTTTTTTGAGCTATAAAAGAGATTAAACAAAGGAATAGAGATAGAAGGGGCCAGAAAGAACTTAGAGAGAAGTGCCTCCTTTGGGCATCAAGTTCCTGAACATAGAACCTCCTAGACCGAGGGGAGTATTGATGTCAAGAACATGAAGTTTGAATCAGGATGCCAGCTCTAGGGAAGTCTTCTGATACCAGGAAGGTCCTTGTTTCCTTTTAACCTCTGTAGGTTGGGTGTTCCTTGGAAATCTCCATGGCTTGGCATCAAACTCCCCCCAGGTCTAGGAGGTACTTGGTACAGGGACCTTGGGTTCAAACAATGCATTTCACTCAGCTCTTCATTTTTTATGGTACTGAGGTCTTTCTGATCTCTGCTGGCTTATTTAATCTCTTTTATATCTCAGAAAAGATTGATCCAATCAATTAAAGATTTCCCATGCATAGGAAGTTCTCAAGATGATCTTTGGGTCCAAAGGACATGCTATACTCCCAGTTCTTTATTTGGGGGTAGTTGAGTCCCCCCCCCCCCAATTCCTCTAGTCTACCTAAGTGGTGAATCCATACCCTCAGCTCTGGTAGGCACCATTCTTGTCCCCTTTAGGTATTATAGCCCCACCCCCTCAACTCTGGCACCTTGGAATGACACCCCCATACTGAGGACAAAGTTGAAGAGCTGATTCTTTGAAACCTCCAAGGCCAGGGTCTTACCCTCTGAAGTCTCAGTGGCTATGATTTCCCTCTTTGAGATTCTTTACTTGGAGATATGACCCTATCCTTTGAAACCAAGGCAGCTATTTTCTGTGCTTATCTCTTTGGCTTTTATTTCTTGGTTCCTAGACCTCTTGACCTCTCAGGCCCCCTCAGCAAACCTGGCCTCTGCCTTGATGGTTGTTGTTGAGTACCATTGAGTCAGAACCGACCATAGTTGACCCTCCAGTGGGTTTTCATGGGCAGTTAATTGCACAGGAGGAGATTGTCCATCCTTCTCCCACAGAGCGACTGGTGGATTTTGCCTGCCCCATACAGATCCAAGTCAGATTTCAATGGCTTTTTTTTTTCAATTGCTGGTCTGAACTAGGCTCAAAGAGGCCTGTGCCAGGTATTGACAGTTTCTTTCCCTGGAGGAGGGAAATGCAAGGGGGAAAGTTAAGCATAGGGGTCATATGTAGGGCTGGGCTAAGGACTTCGTGGGCTGGGGAGCCCAGGAGGACCAGGATGAGAGCTGGGATGGTCAGAGGGACCCTGTGTCCCTAGGGCTGTGAAGTCAGAGCTGCGGAAGATTGTTTCCTGAAGGACGGGCATTTCTGCAAAAGGCATATAATCTGCTCCTGGGGGTGGAAACCAGTGCAGAAATGGGAGGTAAGGAAACAAGACGGTGAAGGAGTTGCAGAGGGCATGGTTAAGTGTTATGGTGAAAGTGCCTTCTTGTCTGGCCTTCTGACTAAACTAGGATGGTCCCTGCCCCTGGTTGCCCCTCACCATAAGGCCTCCCTCCACGTTGCTGCGCCTCTTCGGTCTCAAAGAAAGTCTCATGTTCTTCCCAGCGTCGATCACAGGCAGCACAGAGAAAATTAGACTCAAAGCAGTTGCAGCAACAGTCTGAGGAGGAGGATATAAAAAAATATTATACAAAAAATGTGTATCCCTATGGTTGGATTCTATCCCTCCTCACCAACCACAAGCCTAAATCTTTCCTTCTAACTCCCCATCCTCATGCCATTTACACTTCTGTCCCCATTCCTGCCCTCTCCTTATACTCCCTTGGTCCTGGGAAGTACCATGGTGTCTACAGGCATGGGCTCCAGTGGCTGTGTGATCTTCATGGCTGTGTTTGCAGCGACATTGAGCCCTCCAGGCCTTGGGGTCGAAAGTGGCCCGTCTAGTGAGCCAGAACTCGCCCACCTCCTCTGGGCGGGATGGGATAAAGCAGAACATGAGGCAGCGGCACTGGCTCACACCACAGGGCACGGATATATCTAAGGGAATGGAGATGGGTAGTGAGGTTGGGCCAGCACCTGATAGGGCCTGGCTCTCCTCCCTTTCCATGCCAACTCTGTCTACCACACTGACACATTTTTAACTTACATATATTCTAAGATGTGACACCGTAGTTATCCCTCCATACTCAACAGGATTTCTGCTCTACCTGAAATGATCTGGTGCTCATTCAGTAAGTGTCCACAAAAACACTTCGACTCATCCCCAATCCGGAAGCAGTCCCACTGGTAATGGGGGCAGCGCCAGCCAATGTAGAGACCTGAGTGTGGAGGGATTAAGTGATAAAGAAATAAGGAAACTACACTAACTTTCTTTCCCCAAGGTATTCTCGCCTATCCCTTTGGGAGGAGGGTTCACCTCTCCCCCCAAATGTACTCATCTCTACCCAAGGGTCCTCACCTCTACCCCTTTAGATTTTTTCCTCAAGGTTTTCTCATCGCCCCACAAGTGTCTTCAGTTCCCTTCCCACCCTACGATCTGCTCCATCGCTCTCAGCCTGGGAGAAGCTAAAGCAAGTCTTCAATTTCAGAGCTGGAAGATTATAAACGAAATTTTGTTTGACAACATGAATTTCACTTGTGTTTTCTGTAACTGTGTATAGGGTTCTGTTCTTCTCCCCTTCCCACATTAGAACCAAAATCTGCTTTGCTTCCTTAGAGTTTCTAAGATGACGAAAAGAGAGATGACTGCATATATGGAGAGTGGAGAGTAGGTGAAAGGTATTGGTTCCTAAGAAGCATGGTTATTGAAGGAACTTGAAAAGGACAAGAAGGTCAGGCAGCCCGATTTCCAGGAGGTAGAAGAGCTTCCTTTCACTACTTTCATATTTCCCTTGCTTCTAGTATTACTGAAATTGTGCCTTCCATAAACTTCAGAAAGGTTGTCTATAATTCTTGAGGGAGCTCTGGTGGCCTAGTGGTAAGAAGCTGTGTTGCCAACCCAACGACACACAGTTCAAATCCACCAGCTGCTTGATGGGAGAAAGATGAAAAATCTCCTATGCGATTTAGTGCCTCTGAAAACCCAATGGAGGGTCAGCTATGAGTCACTTCTGACTCAAAAGCATACAATAACAACAACAAGATTCCTCAAGGGTCAAGAGAAAGAGGCATTCAGAAGTAATGAATGTTATTGTTATGCGCCGTCGAGTCACCTACGACCCTATGTACAATAGCTCTGAAGCCTGCCCTATTCTGAGCCACTCTCACTGACTTTGACACACCTACCCTCATTGCCCCAGTTACTGTATCAATCTGTCCTTCCACCCTTCCAAGCATGATGCCCTTCTCCAAGGCTTAGTCCCTCCTGGCCACATGCCCAAGGTATATGAGATGGAGCTTCAAAATCCTAGCCTCCAAGGAGAAACTTGATTTCACCCTCTCCAAGACAGACTTAATTGTTTTCTTGGTGGTCCATGGTATGTTCAAGACTCTCCTCCAGCACCACAACTCAAAGGCATTGATTCTTCTGTCATTGTTAAGTCATTCATTGTCCAGCTCTCTGATGCATGGCAAGTAATTGCAAAGACTATGGGTTGGATCAGGTGCACCTTAGTCTCTAGACTGACATCGTTGCTTCTCAATACTCTAGAGAGGTCCCTGACAGCAGATGTTCCCAGTCCAATTCTTCTTTTGATTCCCTGACTGCAGGTGCCAAGAGTGTTGACTGTGGAGCTGAGCCAGCTGTAATTGTTAATGAGGCTAAATAAAAAGGCATGGAAAGAAAGGTCAAGAAATATGCCTGGGAGCAGGCACAGAGCAAGAGGCCAAACCTCCTGAAAGGTGTTCCACAGTCGGAACTGGTTGGCTTCGTGGTCAATCTAGCCACAAGCAACAATGGTGCTGCTTAAATGTGGAAGGAAGATTTTCATAGCCTCCATAAGAGTTGAAGAATATCCCAAGTTTTAGCCTGGAAAGGAGTGACATTTCCAGTTGTAGGACTCTTAATCCCATTTAAAATCTCAAGCAAAGGGTCCATCCTACCAGAAAGTTCTTGACGTTTTCTGCCTGCACAGGGCCATTCTTCTTGCCTTCCATAACTCCTTTTGCAAATCCTCTCACAGTAAAATGAAGTATAATGATTTGTTCACTTGTGTTCCTATTAGTCTGTTACTTCCTCCAAGGATTTATTTACTCACCATACATCTCTAGTCTAATGTAGCATAGAAACTGGATCAAAATAGAAAATTAGAGAAGAGTGCCTGATAGAACTAGTGAATGAACAGAAACAATTTTTCAAGAAGACAGACCCAAAGATTCTAGCAATCTGTGGACTCATAATGCCGATATTCTATTAAGAAGGATAAGAGAATATCCTCTGTTCTTTGACTCTGGCTAGAGTCATAATCCACAATTCTGTGCCTGATTGACTGCTTAGGTTTGTTGTTGTTTTTCTTTCTTATTCATGGTCCATCAGAATAAAAATCCACCCAATGTGACTTTTTGACTTTGTCTTGATATTACTGACAGATAATAAGGTACTCCTGCTATTATCTTATTTCAGGGAGACTTGACTAAGAGGGCAGGATATAACATAGTCACAATGGAGGTGGGTGGGGCCCAGGACACCACTGGAGGAATTTCAGCTCTGAACAGAGTAGCAGGACACACTGCATGATTTAGTGAGGCACAGAGGTGGACAACAGCCAATGCTTCTCAATCAAGGCCTGGTCTGAGGGCCTGGAGAGTCAAATCCAAGCATTGATACGCACAGTGGTCAGTTGGATGGCTCTACTAAAGGTGGTGGTGAGCAACTGATAGCTGCATGTGGGTTCAGAGTGGTACTCAGAGCTCTCGGCCTCAATTTCAGATCCTCTTTCTGCTATGAGGAGATAAAGACTGACAGAAGGAGTCAATGTCCGAAACACCATTTTCATTCTATAAAACAGTCTCTTTGATGATTTCATGGTACATTTGCATGATATCCCTTTGCTATCAGAATGTCTTTATATAATATTGCACTATATGTCCCCCTGGAGCTTTAGACCGAGCTGTCTTCCAGACTGTTCTAGTATGTTCTACAGGCGTTTCAAATGTGTTGTCTTGTTAAAACGGCCCTTGCCCTCTGTCATACACACACACACACACACACACACACACACACACACACACATTGTTGTTGCTAGTATGTGCTGTCGAGTCACTTGTGACTCATAGCGACCCTATGTACAACAGCCCTAAACCCTGCTCTATCCTGTGCCAATCTCACTGCCTCCGACACACCCGCCCCGATTACCAGTCACTGAATCAATCCACCTCATAGAGGGTCTTCCCCTTCTGCGCCATCCCTCCACCCTCCCAAGCATGATGTCCCTCTCTAAGGACCTCTCCCTCTTTACAACATGTCCAAAGTATGTCAGACGAAGTCTCAGAATCCTTGCCTCCGAGGAGCAGCCTGGCTTAACCCTCTCCAGGATGAATCTGTTTGTTTTCTTGGCAGTCCGGGGTACATTCAATACTCTTCTCCAGCATCACAGCTCAAAGACATCAATTCTCCTTCTATCCTCCTTAGTCACTGTCCAACTCTCTGATGCATAACAAGTGATTGCAAAGACCATAGCCTGTATCAGATGCACCTTAGTCTCCAGAGTGACACCATTGCTCTTCAGTACCCTGGAGAGGTCCCTAACAGTGGACTATCCCATCGCAATATGTTTTTTTATTTCCTGGCTACTGATGCCAAGAGTGTTGACTGTGGAGTCAAGCAGACCAAAGTTGTTAACAATCTCAATCTCTTCACCATCCATCCTGATGCTGCCAATTGGTCCAGTGGTGAGAATCTTTGTCTCCTTGACATTGAGCCTCAATTCGTACTGAAGGCTGCAGTCCTTGACCCTCTGCAGCAATCATTTCAGGTCCTCCTCAGTTTCAGCAAGCAGGGTTGTGTCATCTGCATAACGCATATTGTTAATAGATCTTCCACCAATCCTGACGCCACACTTCTCCTCATAGAGCCCAGCCTCTCAGATAATCTGTTCTGCAGACAGGTTGAAAAGGTATGGAGATAGGACACATCCCTGGTGTATGCCTTCCCCAATTTTGAACCATCCAGTGTTTCCTTGCTCTGACGACTGCCTCTTGGTTCAAGTATAGGTTTTGCATTAAAACGATCAAATGTTCTGGGATTCCCATTCTTCTCAGAGTCAGCCACAGTTTGTTATGATCCACACAGTCAAATGCCTTTGCATAATCAATGAAACACAGATAGACATTCTTCTGGCATTCTCTGCTTTCAGCTAAGATCCATCTAACATCAGCTACAATATCCCTAGTACCACGACCCCTTCTAAACCATCTACTCAGTTTTAGGCATTCAGTTAATGATACCAAAATCCAAGCTGTTACTGAAGCCAAAAATCTAGGTATAACTCTGAAAATTTCCCTCTTTCTTAGCCCACACATTACCTTTATAACATTTCTTGAATCTTCCACTTCTCTCCAACTCTACCTCTTCATTTCCTACTGGGATCATTACTAGGGTCCTACAGTATGGTCCTCCTGTCTCTGGGCTTATCTTCTTCCAGTCTATCCTACTGCCAGAGTCATATTTCAGATGCACAAATGTGTTCATGTTATTCTATTTAAAATTATTTTCATGACTCCCAGTTCTCCTCAGGTTATAGTCCCAGCTTTTTAGCTTGGTAACCACCCTATCCACGAAGTACATTTTACTGTCTACAGTTTCCTCTTGGTGAGAAACCTGCCCTGTCATCTCCCACTTTACCCATTCTTTACTGGCTGCCTCTTGGGTGCTCATTTTACATCCTCATCTTGATGCCCAAGTTTTACCTGGCTTCTTATTCCAGAAACCTCTAAGATTAAGTGCCCCCTTTCTCTGTGTAGAACTCTGGCTGATCTCAATCATAGTGATTATTAGAATAAATTGTAATAGTCCTTTTACTTATTATTCTTATTAGGATGTACTTATTTGCAGGAATTTTGTTTTGCAATTCTTTCACCTGGCATTTCCACAGCTAGTTCAAGGAATGCCTAGTACTTAGTTGGTGGTCAATAAATGTTGGCTGAATGAATTAAAGGTAAACTTAGACTTGTACTTGTTAACCTGTTATTTCTCTAGATATTATATGTACTCTTATGGAGTCTTGGATTCTAGGGACTCAAAATCTACATTAAAAGGGAGCCTCAAATATCTTTACTCACAATTGAAATGCACTTGAATTTCTGTATAAAACTGATGATTTAAACAGACAATCAAGAAGTTCATTCAGAAAAATTAAGAATACAGTAGCTTCCAAGAGTGAGGAAGAGAAGGGAGTTCTGAGAACAAGAGAACTGAATAGTCCTCCCATCTGCAAGAAGAATGAGAGTGACAGAAGATGCTAAAATAGCTCATTCGACTTTAGTGCCATCTTGTTTGGGACCTCCGGATCATGAGGGCCAAGTGGAGGAAAAAGCAAATGTGCAGGCTAAAGCATAAAAGAAGAAAGAAGAGGCAGAGGCCCAAGTAAACGTGAGTGTGTGCACCCGCAGACGCCATAGCGGCAGGAGTAGAGAATGCCACAGGCTGGGCACACACTGGACTGACTGCATGCTTCTGTCTAGAGCTTCTGACTCTAGAATGTCCATCACTATTTGATAGCCATGAACGCCTCTGAGAGGTCCATCTTCCTCCTTCAAAACCAGGCCCTTTTTGATCTGTTGCCTTAGACCTATGATATTCTGGACTAACTCTGCATAGTTGTGGTTGGATGTAATGTGCACAAATAAATCATCTCTTTTACTGTCTTAGCCAAAGAATAAAGTTTTTTAAAAAAGGAGATGCTAAAGTATGCAAAGTAATTTCACTGCCTGCATTAAAAATGAGAAGTAAATGCTGTTTTTTACTTTCTTGACCAGGTATTAAGGAGGGAGGGCTCCCTGAATGCGAATGGGGAGAGTACATTACATGGAAGAGGGATAAGGATAAAACGAAATAGATAATTTACATCTTAGGACCATCTAGTTTAACTCTCATTAAAGTGCAGAAGGGAAGTATGAAAGATCAACAGAAATGGAATGAATTGCATTGAATGAAATTAAATTTAGAAACCCTCATATCTCATTCATAGCAGGTCAAAGTGGCCCTTTTTCTAAAAGGTAATTAATATCTATAAATAATGAAGTTTGATATCACAGGTATATATGCACAGCCTCCAACAAGATGGCATGTATTTACTAAGCTCATCTTTATACCGTTTATACACACACACGCACAGGGAGCACTGTTGGCTACTAGGCAAGAAGCTACATTGCAGTCCTGATGGCACATGGTTCGAATCCACCAGTTGTTCCATAGGAGAAGGACGGGAAATCTCCTCCTGTGTGATTAACTGCCTCTGAAAACCCGCTGAAGGGTCAGCTACAGGTCAGTTCTGTCTCGACAGTACAGAACAACAACAACAACATATATGCACACTATGAACAGTTCTGTCAAGAGTACTGGTTGTGGACTGACACAGGTTTAGAAGACATACTTCTCTCTAGTGAGGATACCTGATGTTTCTGGGTACTCAAGGATTATGGTTGCCATGCACAAGTTACATACTTTTACTGGAGTTCTACCAAGGAGGCAGTCTTTCACCACATCAGAGCATCAAGCCTTCTAGAGACTGTCGAGGATCTTGGGCTATCTCTGCCTTAGAATCTTTTTTTGTGTATAGAGCAACGATGTCTGACTGGAGACTAAGGTGCGCCTGATCCAGGCTATAGTCTTTGCAATTACGTGCTATGCATCAGAGAGTTGGACAGTGAATAGGGTTGATAGGAAGAGAATTGATGCCTTTGAGCTGTGGTGCTGGAGAAGAGTGTTGACTATACCATGGACTGCTAGGAGAACAAACAGGTTCATCCTGGAGAGGGTAAAGCCAGAATGTTCCCTGGGGTCAAGGATTCTGAAGCTTTGACATATTTTGGGCATGTTGCAAGGAGGGACTGGTCCTTGGAGAGGGACATATGTTTGGCAGAGTGGAGGGGCGGCGAAGGAAAGGAAGACCTTTGATGAGATGGATCGATTCTGTGACTGCAGAGGTGGGAATAAGTGCATTTGAGATGGCTAGGTTGGCACAGGATAGAAGAATGTATAGAGCTCTTGTACATAGGGTTGCTATGAGTCGCAAGTGACTCGATGGCACATAACAACAACAACAACAACATGTGTGCAGGTTATCCAAGTCCTAGAACTGGAGCTGACCCATGACTCTGATTTTAATAACTTTGAGTTAGACATCTATTTCTTTCCACATGCCCCAACTTTTTTGCCTCCATCCACTCTGACATTCCGAGCAGGTGACATTTCTGTCTCTACAAAGCACAGTTACCCAATGACTGGGTAAGTTCCCAGATTCTTTTGGGTTGGATAATGACTGTAAGCCATTCATAGGCAAAGCCATCACAGACCTCTGTAAAGCTGCCTCCACTTACCTGTCTGGATGGCACTCAGGGCTGCATGCTTCTCCCATTGGAAAAGATGGTTCACCTGAGCACCACACTGGTTTCTATGCATTGCCTTAGACACTTCCACCAGCTCTGTCTGTTTAGCAGGGACTACTGAGTGGACTGTGTATCCTGAGGAGGGAGGAAATGAATAATCCTTTGATTATTGTGAAGATGCCCTAAAACTAAGAGAAGGGGCCACAATAAAGAATAACCCTCCTTTTAGGACAACAAAAGGGGAAGGATAAGAACAAGGGAAAGGGCAGTTGTAATTACGGCTAGCAGCCTTCTTCTCCTTCTTCTTGCATGGCTTCTGTCCAGGTGTGGGTGTATGAGCAGAGCTGCCACTGGCAACCATTTCTTCCTCGTCGTCTTCTGCCTTTCCCTTCTGTCCTGTGGCCATATCCTTGTGGACCTGGTCAGAAATGCCTGAAAGGAAGCTCTTTTTAAGGTTTTCAAGTTCAGGGGCCTCTAAGGTAGACTTCCTTGGCCATTGAGCCTCACTGTAAGAAGACTTAGAGGAGAGGCTTTCCCTCAGGGCATCATCTTCAGAGGGAGGAACGGAGACATGGCCTTCTGATGAGGGAAGCAAAGAAGGGTGTTTTTCTGAGCCCTTAGAGATGGGAGACTCCACTGTGGCATCAGAAATGGAAGCATTTAGATGAGTCTCAGAAGTGGAGTGTTCCAAATGCTTTTCAGAGGAATGGGATTCTGAAAGGACTTTGGAGCTCTGGGCCTCCAAAGGGGTCTTTGAAGTAGATGGCTCCAAAGCAGATGCAGAGGTAGGGTGCTCTGAGGGGTTCTCAGTGATTAACAGTCCCAAAGAGATCTTAGAGGTGTGAGATTCCAAAGGGGGGAGTTCTGAAGTCGATGGCACCAAGAGGGATTCAGAGCTATGGTGCTCTAAATGAGTCTCAGTGATGGGCGACTCCCAGAGGGTCTTGGAGATGTGGGTCTCTAAAGGGGTCTCTGAAGCAGATGGCGCCAACAGGGATTTAGAGATGTGGTTCTCTAAATTACTCTTAGACACAGATGACTCCAAAAGGGTTTTGGAGACATAGGTCTCAAAAGGCGTCTGGGAATTAGATAACACCAAAGGAGATTCAGAGCTATGGTTCTCTAAATGCAACTTAGAGGTGGATGGCTCCAGAAGGGTCTTGGAGGTGTACATCTCTAACAGTGTATCAGAAGTGGATGGCTTTAAAGGGGACTTAGAGATATGGGGTTCTAAAATGGTCACAGAAGTGGAAGATTCCAAGTGAGGTTCAGTGGTAGCAGGCTTTGGCAAGTCCTTAGTGGAGGGGTCCTTTGAAGAGAGGTGTTTCTCTGGATCGTTGGTCCTTTGAGTCTCTTCTGTAACCTCGTCTGCTTCCATCTAGTGGCAGAATAGAGTACAGACTTTATTAGGTTGGAATTAGAGGGGTCTGCAATAGAATCCAGGGCTCAGAATGAGTCGTGAATTATGATAACATGCTTATTACACTTGAAATACAAAGAGAGAAGCAAGATAAGCTTTGGGTCTCAAAGTCTGATGCTAAGAGAGTCACTCATGTTCCAGATTCTGTGTGATAGGCTGCGACAGATTGTAAGAGAGCTAGAACTTAGAAAAGATGGAAAGACTGAAGCAGTTAGAATCCCATCAGTAGATGGTAGCAGAAGACTAGGAGGTAGCTTGAACATAGCAACTTTGCTAGTCCCTATCTTAGGAGTTAGGAGGTTGGACTGTAGAGTTTCAGGGCCTAGGAATACTAAGTCAAATTGGGAAGAGTTAATTGGGTATTGACTACAGAGAATGCAGATGGATGAGTATATAAGGCAAGAAAAAACCCTGCCCATAGTCTGGTTTTGTCAAAGGAAAGCAAACACGCACACCCAAAACACACACACACTCCCCTGATGTTGTCATTGGTGCTCAAGGCTTCAACTACTAGCAACATACTGAACTCTGGGAATCATCTTAGTTTTTTCCCTTTTCTTCAGTCTCATCTTCAAATAGGCACCGAGAACTATAGTTTCTTTTTTTTAATTTTATTGTATTATTTTTACATGTACCATCAAATCAGATCTGACTGGTACAGGAGGAGATTGCCCCCTCCTTCTCCAGCAGAGCATCTGGTGGATTTGAACCGCATACCTCTGGGATTACAGTGCAGCGCCTTGCCACTAGGCCACCAGAGCTCCCTAAGAACTATAGTTTCTATGTTCCAAATATTTCCACAATGCATCTTCACCTTTGTTCACAGTTTTGTTCATAATTTTCTGCCTGAACTATAAATACCATCCCTATCCTCAGCATGTAAGTCCACTCATTTATGTAATTTACACTTTCCCCTCCTTACAAGTTCACATTCATGTATTTTTTTATGTTTATTTGACACTGATGTGTCAAATGAGATAATGGTTACCCATGGTGGACAGTGTTTGGTGGAGCTCCCCGGTTAAAATAAACTTGGAAGCAGAAGTGGCATCCATTTCCGAAATAGCTTGCCTCCAGAAACTCTATGAACGTGGAGAAATGACGAAAGTTATACAAGTGCTCAGGTCTTTCGTTCATAGGGTCGTCTATGACTCAACGACATTTAACAACAACAACGACACTTTTATTCTGGCAATGGACTCAGCTGAGAGTCAGGGAGAGAGACAAGTTAACAAACAATGACAATGTAAATGAGTTGGTGTTCAATTGGGCTAAACTCAAGCTGCTGTTGGAAGAGGTTTAATTTACACTGAAGTCCATCCGAAAGAGGATGTTCTTACTGAAAAAACGAGAGCTTTATAAATTCAAAAGTTAGCACTAGCATTCCTGTTTAAAAAAAATATTTAATGTCTCAACTTAAATCATCTTGGCCTGACATTCCAGACCTTTCATCCTTTGCAACAATGACTGAGGATTCCAGCCTGAACTCTCCACACTTCCCACTTTGCCCCATGTTTCAGAGATAGGCTATATATCACTTCTTGAACTCACCAGAGCCTTTCCAACAGGGAAATTTGAAAAGGAAAGCAGGGGAAGAGGTAGGATGATGAAGAGAAAGATGGTTAGAGGTTCTGCAAGAGGAAAAGGCATCTGAAGGCAGAGAGCTGGAAGAAGAGTGGAGAGGAGGGAACTAAGTATGGAAAGTAGAGACTGGGAGGTGCTGGACAGGCTGGTCCTGGCCGGACTATTAGCAGGGGATAGGACTGTTGCAGGGTTGACGTACCTCTTGGCTTCGGCTGGGCTGATACAAGTCTTTGGTTTAGACTCTTGTCTGAGGATGGAAGGGGGGAAGGCTGGCCTCAGGAAAGCTGGCTCTAAGTTGTGGTAGAGCCTGTGGTGCAGGGGCTAAGTGGCAGAGGGCTTGCCTGGAAGTCTGACTTGGGGAGGGGGACTGCAGAACTTAGTTTCTAAAGCAATTCGGTAAGGCGGGGGTAGGGTATGGGGAAGGGGAGGGACGGGGGAAGGTGGAAGGAGGGGAAGGAGGGAGGGAGGGAAGTGACTGGCCTCTGTGACCCGAGTCTAGAGAGGAGGAATCGGTCGTCAGGGCAACAGGAATGCCCAGTAGTTTCCATGACAACAGCAGTCGGACCACCTTTACAGTGGGTGACGTCTGCTGAGGGGACTGCAGTGGACCGGGAGAGGACGAACCCCGAGAATTCATTTCTGAAAAAAGGGAGTTTTGCAGAATTTCAGTAAGAGTGTCTCAGGGTAAGATCTTGAGATCTGTGAGGAGGTCTGGGTCCATGGATGTCCGTGCAGGGTTCTTATGAGATAACTGTGAGGACGTCAAGGGGGGACGTGAGATTCTGAGAGGGGATCTGGGATCTGTGGTTGGGGTCAGGACCGCAGAGACTTAGGTAGCGGGAGCTAGGGCGGAGTCTACTCGGGGTCCCGCAGGACCGAGTTAGAGCCCAATAGGGTAGGGCAGGGGGCGGGTATTACGAAGATAGACCAATAGAACTAGTTGGGGGCGGAGCGTCATACGACGTCAAGCCGAGGCCGCCGCCGCGGGGCCTGGTTATCGCCGGTCCAGCCCAGCCCGGAGTCGCACTGGCCTGAACTCCTACCCAGGTCCCAGGCCTAGTCTCAGCCGGTGCGACCTCAGCCTCCGGCCTGCGAGGACGCCGGAGGTCACCACTCTGGGGGTGGGGAGCGGGGCAGCGGGTCAGCTCCGCAAGCTCCCCGCTTGGCCCATCCGGCCCCGCCCCTGCCTTGGGCCATGGCCCAGCCCTTGTCCCGGCCCCTCGTCCTATCCCGATCCGGGCCACGGCCCCCGGCCCCGCCCTCGCCCCACTTCCCTAATCAGTCCCAGTCCCGGCCCGGGTGCCCGCTCATGCCAATGTCCGGATTCCAACCCCTCCCCTTGCTTCCTTCTGGGTCCCAACCCCGGCCCCCCCTGGAGTCCTTATTCCTGCCTCTGGCCTGGCCCCAATTCCCGCCCCTGCCCTTGTTCCACTCCTTTACACAAATTCCAGTCCAGCCCCAATCCCAACCCTATTCCCTATGTTTGCCTGAACCGCTGACCCAAACCTTGCCTTATCCATCCCATACCCTATCCTTCTTCAAGCCGCGATGCCCAACTCAGCCCAACTCGTTATCTCAACCTTTGCCCTCACCCCTGTGTTTACCCAAGTCTCTCCCATTACCCACCCTTCTCTTTCATACTCCGCCCCTCTCCCAGTCCCGACTCAGATCTGGGCTTCAGCTGCCGCCAGCCCTATTGCTGCTGTTGCTGTTCTCTATCCTTGGCCCAGGGGCTGGTGAGTGAAGAAGCAGGGAGATTGAGGCAGGGATGGGGCTCTGAGAAGGAGGGTGGACTGGAGGGAATCCGGAGAGGTGGGACCTGGGAACTAGATCTTTTAGGGGCAGAAGTGGGGAGAAGAAACAGAGGAGAACAGTTTTAAGCTACTGAGAGGAGTTGGGAGTGGGCCTTGACATTCAGCAGGTGGCCTTGTCCCTAGGACAAAGCCAGTGTTTGGGTGTTTTTCTCCTAGTGTCTTGTTCTAACCCAACCTTGACCCTCGGCTACCCTGAGGAAATCTCATATTCTTTGTCCCTGCTCTCAGTTTGATGAGAGAGACATGATGGGAGAGCTGTGGGGTGAGGTAAAGCAGAACCTTTCAAATACTGAGCATGCAGCAAAACAGAGTGAAGATAACACATAGCAAACAGAACAACACGAGTTAGTCGCCATTGGAACCATTGGAACACATTTTCTTCCTGTAAGGTATCTAGTTCCAAATAAACTTGATTTGGCTAGGAATACTTCCTGACATTTCTTTAGCAGGGTGGAAACTCAAGAGGCCATTTTAAGTGATGGAGAAACTGAGGCTTTGCCCAAAGCCACACAGCTCGTGAATGGTAGTGCTGAGGCTAGAAAACGGTTTCCTAATTCCTTTCCCATGTTGGTGATTTTTTTCACTGCAATGTATGCCTAACAGGAAAGTGGGGAAAGGCTATAAGCACAACACCTCTCCTTTACCCTGTTGGCCCACAAGAGGGCTTCATCCACAAACTATTTTTTGTTTGCCAGCTCTCAGCAGAGGGACATGGACCAGTGTAGGAATCACTTGGATAGAAGAGGGAGTTCAGCTTCTCAACGAGGGGAATGTGAAGGAGCAGGAATTTGGTACTGACCCAGGAGATATGCCATAAATGTGGCCCCATCGAAAGACGCTGACTTAGTTCTAATGGCCTCAGACACCTCTGGTGCATGGTTGGAGATGTACCTTAGGAAGTCATTAGCCAAAGCAACTAATACAGCAGCTGAGGAAAGTCGTGCAGTGAACTGCAGGGCCTTGGCTCCCTGTACAAGTTTGAGGAAAATCAGTGCAAGCCAAAGGGCATGGCTCTTGCAGATTGCAGATGTATATAGCTTAGTGTGTCTGAGTACCCTCTCTGTATAAAACAGTGATCTGAGGAAATGCTGGGAATGTGTAGCATGTGTTTATGATTGTGTGTTGGTACTTGTATGCACATGCATGTTGTATGAGGTGAGCCTGTGTCCTCTGAATACCTTTGTTGTTTGTGAGGGGGAGAACACATACTGTGACTTATGCACGCATCTTTTCAGCTTTTCCTGTATTTCCCATGGACAGGTTCCTGAAGTTTCACCTTCAGAAGTCATAGTTTCTTGCTTTCCACAATATATAAGGAACTCCTTTTCTCCCATCCATCCTCCTTGAGACTCAGTGTTGATTGCTGAAAATTGGGCACTCAGCAGAGGCAGTAGGCAGGCCTGTTTTGGTGAGTGGGAGTCTATGCTGTTGAGCCCAGTGTGTATCTTCCATCCCTGCCACCGTGGCTTCTTTGTTCACGAGGACTTGGAAAGAGCACTGGGCTGGTGAGGCGAGTAGGATGACTGACAGAGAGTTGGTCAAAGCTGAGGGATGTGGATAGAAACATGAATCACCAAGGCAGGTTTAGTTACTATGGTGAGACTTGTACTGAAGTTGGAAAAGAGTACTAAGACGGTCTAGCTTCAGGCAGGGCTGCCCTTAGCAGCCTTAGTTGTTAATAGTCATTGCTTGGCACCTGTGACCTGGCAGGGCTGATGGGTTTTGCCCAGGAGAGGCTGGCAGTGTCACAAGCCCAGAGATGTACACATTTGGCATCAATAAATGTTATGTTTGCTTCAGTTTCATTGTAGGAATGGTAGTTACATCCTGGGTTCCCAGTCTCACTCCTTGTCCTTGAGTTTTCTTGGTTTAGCTGACTGCATACCTTGCCTTTATAGGAAATGACCTTTTACTCCATGCAGTGCTACCATCAGACTCTCTGGACAGTGTAAATAAATAGTTAAGTTTTTGCCTGCCAACATTAAGATAGGCAATCCAAACCTACCCACAAGTGCCTCAGAAGACAAATCAGGGATCCACTTCCAGGAGATCACAGGCATGAAAACCATGGAACATATTCTACTCTGACACAGGGTGGGGGAGCCCTGGTGGCCTAATGGCAAGAAGCTGCACAGTAATCACAGGAGTGTG